GCTCAGCCTCTGCTCCCGAAAAAAAAACTCCCCAAAAAGCCCCTGTCCGCTCAGATACGCATGCCACCGACACGGTCCACCGTGGAAACGTGAGGAATCGTTTCTGCCCCGACACGTTTCCACCGGTTCAGACCTCTCCGGTGCGGGTTCGACCGGAGTTCTCGCGGTATTTCCGGCGCTCGCTGCCCCCTGAGCGTTGGTATGGCCCACAACCCCCAGGTGTTTTCCCACAGAACGTGACACTGCGGCTGGTTTCCCAACCCCCCCCACCGGGGAGGACTCCCCAGCACGGAAACGCACGCGCTCACGCCGCGTCTGGTGGAGAATCTGGGCAGCGGCAGCTGGAATTACGCACGACCGGATTTGGGTTTTTGTTCGTTTATTTGTTTGTTACGTGTAATTTCAGGCAGTTTGGATGCAATAATGAGCTCCTGGTTTAATGTGACGATTTACAGTAACAGCAAAATCGCTGAGGAGTCAAATAAACTCTGAGGGAACAGGAGAATTAAAGGCGTTTTGTGGGTTTGCTAAACCGAATGAGCACAGAAATTATCCTAATTACGTAAAACACTGACACTGAATCATTAAATAAGAAAAAACTGCAAGATTTCGTTGTTTGAGTACTTAAAAAAAATCTGATTTATTTTTTCTTGGTGGAAATAAAAGGCCCACTGCTGTTTCTTTAAAAAAAAAGTAAATAAAATCTCGTGTTCTTATGGTGGAAAATTACGCGCTTTTTATTCCAAACTAAATTAGGGTCGTTTTAATTTACTTTAGAGAATGATTGAAGGTTTTTTTTCCCTCTCAGGACGATGATGATGACGAGGGAGGAGATGAGAATAAGGCCAGAGGAAACTGGTCCAACAAACTGGATTTTATTCTGTCCATGGTTGGCTATGCGGTGGGATTAGGAAACGTGTGGAGGTTCCCTTACCTCGCCTTCCAAAATGGTGGAGGTAAGAGTTCAGAGTTAAGAATCAGTGGGTTTTATGAATATGGGGAGGAGAAAAAAAGAAGAAAGAAAACGAAAATTTCATTCGAGTCAATCGAATTCAAGTCTAATTTTGGAACATTTGTTGTTTCTTCTGCTGATATATTAAGTTCATGCTTTAAATTCGGGTCTTCAAGGGATGGACGGTGGCCTAAAATACTTCAGAGATTTTTTCTATTAGTCAGATTTTGAAAGAAAAGAAAGTAAAATGTATTTACATGATGAACGAAAAAAAAGAAGTTTTCAGTAATACATCTGTTTGAAGGATGAAATGTATTTAAAGATAATTATTCCCATGTGCTATTTAGTCCAAAAGCTTAAGCTTCGTCCTTTATTTTAGTTGTTTTCAGATAGTTTTAGGTTTTTCTTGGACCTGAAACTAGCCTGGCGTGTTGTTTCCTTATCCAGGAGCCTTTCTGATCCCCTACCTGACCATGTTGGGCATTGCCGGGATCCCAATCTTTTTGATGGAGGTCTCCCTGGGCCAGTTTGCCAGCCAGGGGCCCGTGTCTGTTTGGAAATGCATCCCGGCTCTGCAAGGTAAACTGCCCCCCCCCAGAACCGCCAGGAGAAGCCTCCATAAATAAAACTCACCACGACTCCTTCCACTTTCCTTAAGAGTAATTTATATATTTCGTCTCATTTATTTATTTTAGGTTGCGGGATTGCCATGTTGATAATATCTGTCTTGATAGCCATATACTATAATATTATTATGTGCTGGACACTGTACTACCTGTTCGCTTCGTTGAAGGGCTCACTGCCATGGGCTAACTGTAGGAATGAGTGGAACACGGTGGAATGTAAGGACAAAGACATGCTGCTGTTAGGTAAGAGGCACACACACACACTCACACACACACACACACCTCCAGACACGCGCACAGAAAAACCCCAAAGCCCCTCTCTCTCTCTCTCTCTCTCTCCACAATGCGCAATGCGTCACGGCTCCCCTCGGCTGAGGTGTCCTGCGGTATAATGAATCCTGACCCGCGATCTCTGCGGTGTTTCGCTCTCAGAAACAAATTAAGAACCCCCCCCACACCCCCACACCCCATCCTGCTCATCTATCTGTCCGCGTGCATTTCTAATGGCGCGGACGCAGGGCCCAAACGAGCCAGAGCACTCTCAAACTCCAGCCATTCGGCCTGTTTTAATCCTCATTTTGTTGGATAAAACTGTTGTTATCCTTTAATTACGCAGCTCAGCTAAAACAGTCTTTAAATTGAGTCTTTAGAAAAATCAGAAAATGTAGATAAAACAGTGTTTTTGTCAGAAAATGTGAAGAAATGTTTTTTAAATGAGGGATTGACGTCATTTGACGTCGATGTAAAATGGAATTCGGGTATATTTCGGCTCCTAAAGGCCCTCAGCGATTCTGTCAATTCAGCAGAAGAAAAAACTGCTGGCTTGACAAATTTACTGTACAGCGCGAGCCTCTGCAGTGCTGCAGTGGGCAGCACACTGACCCCTGCCGGCCACACCGGGAACAGCAGGCCCGTCCGGCACGTCTCCCACACTCTCCCCCAACTGGAAAAAACTAAAGATGATGGTCAAATAGCACACTTTATCTCTCTTAAAAAAAGACAAACAACCCTAAAATGGATTTAACATTTTTTCGGTGCTCTGTGAGAGATTGGATTACAATCTTTTGCACAGTCTCTGCAAAAAAAACATAATTTTAGTCTTAGATATATGTGAGAAAGATGATTGTAGCACTCTGTGATATAATTATTCTCAATTTCAAGGCCAAAGATTGTGATTTTTCATATGTGTTCTTTCAAAACACTGTTAAAAAACTGTTGAATATTTAAAAAAGGCTGAAAATGATGACTTTGTTTGCATCTTTTCTATAGAAAGCATGTGCGCATTAACTGTCCACGTTAGTGTAAAAAAGATAAGACAAAGTGGACACTACTGCTGGTCTACTGCAGTGGACCTGTTCTCAATAGCTCAGATCCACCTGTCCCCCCCCCCCCTCTCTCCGCTCACATGTGTTGGTTTCTGATTGGAACAGACACGTGCATCCTTCGGGAGAAAAACCCCATTTCCATCAAGAACTCGACTTTCTGTCTGTCCGCCAACGCGGCGGGGAACCTGAGCAGGCTGCTGAACATGACAGTGGACGGAAACAAGACCTACGTCAGCCCCAGTGAGGAGTACTTCAAGTGAGTTCACATTCTGCCTTCTGGAAATGTTGTGGACATTTTATTTTAAAGCCAAAGTCTGAGTCCATCTGAGGAAGTAAGCAAATAGAAATGTATTCAAAGGGAAAAAAAGGGAAAGGGAAAACTTACCAAGCTGCCCCAAAGTAAAACTAAATCCTAGTTAGTACATTTGATACCCCTCTCTGAGCCTGAGAATAGGGTTCAAATCTGTCTCTATCATAGAGTAACCTGCACCTGTACCAAACAATCCTCCAGCCGAAAACATTAAGAGATAAAGTATAAGGAGACCCTCTCTGAGACCCATGAGGAGGAATTAGTCCCATAAGGAAGAAAAAGAACCTTTAAAATATTCACTTGTGGAAAGTTACCAGAGAGAAATTAAGAAACTGATTATACATATGTTCATTTCCCTAACATGATTATTTTCAGAAAAGAAATATAAGCGGATGGTTTTTGTCTATAAATGATCTGTATTCTAGGTTCTGAAATACAACCATTTTCAGCTGTAAAAAATGGTTCATTTGTTTCTTTTGGTGACAAAACGCACAATTTTCCCCAGAAATCCTTCATGTAATACACAATAATTATATGAACAGCAATATTAATGTTTGAAAATTAATAATGGTAACAAAAAAATACTGGAAATATGATAAAAACAATACTATATATTTTTCCTGGACCTTTTTTCTTGTTCACCTTGATACACAAAAAGAAAATCCTTGAATAAAATCATTGAATAAATTCATTTATGTGGAAAAATGAGGCAGACTTTCTCAAAAAGGAGAACTTCTATGACTTCTCTCTCTAATGAACATAGGCAGATTGACCAAAATTAATGTATTTGAATCAAGGCCTTCATATCTTATCTGCACCGTCCCTTGTTTAACTTTATTCATATCTATGTTGAGTTTGAACCATTTCAATCTGGCCTGCAGGTACAACGTGTTGCACATTTCTAAGGGGATTGAATATCCAGGGGACATCCGCTGGGCTCTGGCCGGTTGCCTCTTCCTGGCCTGGATAATCGTCTACGCCTCCTTAGCCAAAGGAATCAAGTCCTCAGGAAAGGTAACAAAACACAACAAAAGAATCCTCCGACCTCTCCGCCCCCCCTCTCGGCCTGAACCTTTTTTCCCCCTCGGGAATCCTAGTTTAGTTGGACTTCTTTGTGGTCAGCAGGCAGAAAAAACAAGCAGGTGTGAGTTAGGGCCATTTTAATGTGGCCTCTTGGGTGATGTTGCCCTCTAGTGGACAGAGAGGGGAATTGCAACACACTCCAGATTAACTGTAGTGGAATCAGATTAAAAATCTCCACATTTTAGCTGATATTAGGCATCATTTACTGTAACTCTCTGTACTATGTGAATGAGATAATGCTTTTCTATGAGGTGCCATCTATTTTGTCTAAAAAATGAATAATCTGCTTGTGAAAAGGTTTGGTTGGAATAAAAGTGGTGAATTAGGGAATGCAATCCGGGTTCCCATCATCCAGCTGTTAGTCACCCCCCCCTGCCCCTATTTCTCTCTGTTTAGGTGGTTTATTTCACGGCTACTTTCCCCTACGTGGTGCTGGTCATCCTTCTGATCAGAGGAGTGACCCTGCCCGGGGCCGGCGACGGCATCCTTTACTTCATCACACCCAAATGGGAGAAGCTCAACGACGCAAAGGTGCTGGTCGCCCCCCCCCCCCCCCCCCCGCCCGATGCCATCCTCCATTTTTTTTTCTCCGATTTCTCACCCCCCTCCTCCGTCCTTTCCCCTCCAGGTGTGGAAAGACGCCGCCACTCAGATCTTCTTCTCCCTGTCGGCCGCGTGGGGAGGCCTCATCACGCTCTCCTCCTACAACAAGTTCCACAATAACTGCTACAGGTAAACACTCAAAAGGTAAACTATTCTCCTGTCAGACACGTTTAAGATGTCCCCGCAGATGCATGATGCTGTATCTGTATGTCTGGTGTCAGCAGAGTTTCTAAAGTTATTCACATTTTTATTGGGTTTTCCTCTTCTTGTTGCAGTCTGCAAATTGTGCTTTCCTTTTTTTCTTTGGCTCCATCTAGTGTACAATCGATGTAAATAACTGATTTTAAGAAGGCGTTGACACTCGCAGTTTTGCTCCCTGCCACCAGAGGGCACTGTTGGACCTCTTTTCTGTGAAAATGTAGGGCAGCCTTGTCCTGTCTTGTCCACTTGTGCGGGTTAACGTGTGTCTCCTGTTTAAATGATGGCCAAACTATCACCTGATATTAACAAAACTCTTTGCTTTTTGCTTTTTTTCTCCTTTTCTCCCGCAGGGACACCATCATAGTGACCTGTACCAACAGCGCCACCAGCGTGTTTGCGGGCTTTGTCATCTTCTCGGTCATCGGTTTCATGGCTCACGAGCTGAAGGTGCCCATAGAGAAGGTGGCAGATGAGGGTGAGACCGCACATCTGGACAGAGTGTCCGGCTTTAACCAGCTATAGATAAAATACCACATATGTCCACTTCTGTGTGTGTCCAGGTCCGGGCATCGCGTTCGTGGTGTATCCAGAGGCTCTGACCAGACTTCCTCTGTCTCCTTTCTGGGCCATCATCTTCTTCCTCATGCTCCTGACTCTTGGACTGGATACCATGGTAACCGCTGCTCTTTCCCCCATGTGTCTGCATTTATATACTTCACATACTTCCCCATAAAAGATTAATAGGGTGAAATACAAATAGCATGCTTAAAGCCAAAATCCTACATTCACAAAGGTTTGAGATGGGGGGGTTATCAACATGGGGGAGATCTGGGGTTCTGGAGCAGAACTTGATTGGACGTTGCTTCACGTAAATGCACTTAAAAAGTCCCAAAAAGTTACCTGATATGTGTTTTTCCTTTTCATTTTCCTCATGAGAATATGTGAGGAGGTCAAGGAAATAATTAGGAGAAGTCATTAGGGAAAGTCTTTACATTTGGCTTCAATTTGGATATGAATTTAATATTCTGAATTAACAAAAAATGCAATTTTCTGTGCTTTTATTGGGTTGTTTGACACTGGCTATTTAGGGTTGCACAACCCAGTGACTTGTGGGAAAAAAGATGAACTATTTTTTTGGATGGAGTCGGGTTTGTCTGCCACCATGTGGTGCAGAGGACAAAAAGCTCTTTTCCCCACCTTCCTGAAACCAGATAATTCATTCTCCAAACGTAACAAAGAGCCTTTTAAGGATGGAGGACAACCAGAGAAGTTGAGAAAAAAACACACAAAAAAACAGTTCAACTGTCATATTCAAGGTTTCCTCCCAAACCTGTCAGATTTATTAATCCAGGACCACACAAACCTTGAAGGGAACGGCTTATTTTTTAAGAACTGTTGCATGTTTCCTTGGCCTTAAGCTCGAGCACTAGCTGTTATCAAAGTAGATTATTTAAAACATTGATAATGGAAGGAGAAAGCCACTAAAGCACTGTGGACTGGAGCCATGCAGAGTGGGAAGGACGACCCTCACCCATCACTCTTTGTGCTTGATTTAATCAAACTCCCAACAGACGCAGAGTTTATTTTCTCTGTTCCTGTTGCACATTCTGAATAATCAGAACTGGGTTTTTTTTTTCTGTGAACCACAAAAAAGTCCCGACCCCGGTTCGTTAAACTATGAATCAAACTGTTTGTTTTGCCCGATGATGAAGATAAGCATTGATGTAAAACAGGTTCATAGCATCTCTCGCGTTTTTTAAGAGATGCATATTTTTCTACAAATGATTTTTGTAAATATGTAAGTCAGAGACGCAAAATAAGAATTTAGTTGACTCTCAAAGTTAGCATCAGTGACACAGAAACACTGCTAGCTATTGACCCAATTAGCATGAGTGCTGGTGCACACCCCCACTGAGCCTGACTCCAGCTGGAGTGTGTCAGGTAGTCAAAAAAAAGCTCTCTGTCTGATCTGAGACACTGTTGAGTTTTGAAATAATGAAATTAGCGTTTGATGGCCTTGATTTTTACAAGAGTGAAGACAGGACTTGATGAGTGAGGCTTCAGAAACCTCTCATTAATTTTTTGTCATTTTCTGTATTTATTTTTTTGGTTTAATCAATAGATGTCAATTCTAAAGCGGTATTTTTGGATTGATATTTACTTTTTCCATTAAAAAGACGTTTTCATTCCTCTATTCTTGGTTCCTAAAGAGATTCTGAGTAAATCATCAACAGTTTGGGACAATCACTGTTAAAATTTAGGTAGTAAATGAATAAAAAGTGTAGTTTTCATGCTTTCACGACTGTTAATTATCTCTAACCATATTCATCATTTACCCTGAATATCTTTGGAACATTTCCAGATAATATTTTCATGATTGGTCATTCTTTTCATAACTTGGAGAAAAACAACATTTATTGCGAGCAGAAACCACAAATAGTGTTCCTGTGACAGTGTTATATCCCTTTTGTGCTTGAGAATTAGGTCAGACGTTTCTCTGTTTGTGCTCATAGGTTTACAAAGTGCCACATAATTGTTTTTTCCAGCTTGATGAATGATAAACGCCAATAAAGCAACATGGTGGTCATCGCTTAGATTCGAAAATCTCTCATTTTTTACGTCTTTGAGTTGTTGCTTTTGGATTATGGATCCATCCAGTTGACTGCCTGCATGCAAAGTAACGCCCATTTCTCCAACAGCAACACAAAAGTTGAAATTTCTCCCATTGAATAAAAGAGGGATCAGGGAATTTTATTCCCTCCAAATTCTTTTGTATTGTTACTGAAAGTATTCCAATGATCTTGTATCCACCATGAATAGTAACTAATCCCAACCCTAACCTAACCCTAACTCCTAATTTAATTTTTGTGGTTAAAACTTCATACAGAATGAGGAATCCTCATTAATCCCGAGTGTTTTAGAGGTTTATGGGGAGCAGTTTTGGTTTTGCTTTTAGTTGTGTGATGTGCAGCTCTGACAAAGCTGGGCAACAAACCACGTTTGGAGCATGAGGAGCCCTTCATCTGGAGTTCATAAAAGATTAAATTGACATCAAACTATTATCCATCACAGCCTATCGCAGTTAAAAGGTTGAAATACAGTTCAGCGCCACATTAGTGTCGAAAAGAATCAGCGTTTTTCTCCATTTTCACTTTGGAATGCAGCTTCACGGAAGCCCCTTTAAGACCGAGAAGCTTTGGCAGCTTTATTAGGAACCTAAATGAGCGAACCCTGGAGTCTCTGGGATGTTATTCTGAAGCTGAGAGTGTGAAGCCGAACAAAACAAAGTGTGCATGACCCAGCAACTCCTTAAAGCGACGCTTCAAAACCGAGCAGAGGGCCGCGGTGGCAAATTAAGACACAAAATGATGATGTTACTCTTCCCGGCCCGCAGCTCAGAGGAGGCCACTCTGTTGCGGGAAACATCTTTGCGGTAATAGGCTCGGGACGCTGACGGGAAATTAGTTTTGGGAGCTCAGAAGGAGGAAGAGGAGCGGAGAGAAGTGGCAGATAGAGCTCTGCGTCTGTGCATTTCTCCCATACACCCTCAGAAAACATCACCCCCCCCCCTCCACTGTTTATATATTCATTCACCACCCCTCCTCAGGGTTTGTGTCACATTTTCTCCTTCCAGGCTGACTCACCCTGTCCCTGTAAACTGAATTTGTAATTGTTTTCCCCCGTTTCCCCTTTTCCTCCTCAAGACGAGATAAATGCTCGTTTTAATTGTTCCGGAAGTGAATTTAATCACGGCAGAAAGCGTTTTTCATGGATGAGCTGAAGAAAAAATGCTCCGCAACGTGCAGGATGCGGAAGTTTTGACAGCGGCAGCTGTTCTATTTGTAAATGAGGTAAACTTGCTGAAATGCTTCTGCAATCTGGCCCAAATGGACCGTTTTTTTTTTTAGTTCTGTGGCTCCAGAAACAGCCAAACAGGGTCTGGAATCAGCCTGAAACCGACTTTAAAACCCCTCTCACTTGAAGCTAATTTGGAGAAAATGTGATTTAGGAACATTTCGCACCCCGACAGGAGCTCCCCATTCCCCTCCCGTCCTTCTCACTCCTCCCTTCTTTTCTTCACCTCAGTTCGCCACCATCGAGACCATCGTCACGTCTGTGTCAGATGAGTTCCCCAAGTACCTGAGGAAGCACAAGCCGCTCTTCACGTTAGTCTGCTGCGCCGCCTTCTTCATCCTGGGTTTCCCCATGATCACAGAGGTACGACCCGAGCTCTTAAAAACAGAAAAAAAAGGATTGGCGTAGAAGTACAAATACTATATAAAAAGATTGACTTGAGTAAAAGTTGGAGTGTTCTTTCAACTCCATACTTAAGTGGAAGTACGGAAGTACCCCCTTTTTTTTTTTGCTTAAGTATTGCAAGTTTATGTATTTCAAAAATTGCTACTCAAGTATTGAAAGTACAAGTATCAGTAAAAGTACAAGTACTGCGTATATTAAAAAAAGGTGGCAGAGATATCTATCATTACGTTTACATATCAGTAACAAGTAACGATTCAGCCCGTGAAAAATCGATCGGAGTCAAAGTATTAATTTAATAAAAAACATGTAGTGGAGTAAAAGTAAGAAAAAAAAATCTACTCCAACAAAGTACAGATACTGCATTTTTGTACTTAAATACAGTACTTAAGTAGTTCTACTTCGTTACTGTACATCTCTGCCTAAAAAGCCTCAGTCCAGGGAAAAATGGGACTATTTCCTGTCATTTTACTAAGATGTGATAGATATTCGCCTGAAAGATGACTAGAAAAGTTCAAGATTTCATGAAAAAGGTCCATAATGTCTGATGTAGGATCAGATCTGACTTGCTGTTGAGATATTTGCCGCTGTTTTTTAGAGTGGGATGTACATGCTCCAGCTGGTGGACACATTTGCAGCCTCCTATTCTTTAGTCATCATCGCCATCTTTGAGCTGGTGGGGATCTCCTATCTCTACGGTGAGTGTAAAATGACCTAATATGTGTATAAGTTTGAATATTTGTATATATATGTGTTCATATGTGTATATATATATGCATGTATTTATATGTATGTATGTGTTTCATGTATATTTCTACTTTCTAGAGTGGATATAATTGTTTTGTGACAAGCATGCAAACCTTTCGTCATATAGGAGTTATTTTAAAGTAAAAATATTTGTCCGTTTTTACAATGAGCCACAAACGTGGGTGAGGAAGGGATGACCTTTGCCCCCTTAACTGTATCAATCAATCAATCAATCTTTATTTATATAGCACTTTACAACAACCGGAGCAGACCAAAGTGCTTTACAGAATAAAAACGGATCAAACTATCGAAATATACAAAGACAAACACATCGGTGACAGAACCCAGTATACAGAGATTTTACGTGCAAAAAGCCATCCTGAACAAATACGTTTTAAGTTGAGCTTTGAACAGTGGCAGGTCAGTAGATAATAATAAGTAATAGATACTTGCCTTTGTACATGTGACTACACAGAGGTGATCAAATGGAGCTGAACTTTTGAAATGAGTGTGAGCTAAGTTTGAGTTGAGGTAAAGAGACTGTGACATTTTATTTAAAGTGTGTGTGAAATGTGGAGAATTGTATTTTTAGAGAGGCTTGAAATGGACACAAATGGCCACATTGGTCAGTGATGCTCACCTGCTCACCCCCTCCCCACCTCGGTGACCACTAGGGGTCTCTGTTGTAACGCGGACACACACGCGCTCAGGGCTCAGGTGTGTGTCGGGAGGCTGTTGTTAAGAAACTGGCTGTGCTCCAGTTTGTGGGCGCCTCGGCGCGAGTGACATATTGAAATGATTGTGTGACTCTCCCTCTTCATGTCACTCACTGTTATCCGTCAATAAAGGCGGTGGAATGAAGCCATCTGCTCCATCACCCTCTCCCAGGGACGACAGGATCTGACGCTCTGCCCCGCACACACACACACACACACACACACACACACACACACACACACACACACACACACACACACACACACACACACACACACAT